TCACGACAGGATCGGGAATTATGAAAATGTTCCGTTTAAGCATTGGTCTCGATTAAGTGGTAATCAGATTTCCAGTCGCAAATTGATGCCTATAGTTATACCTTTACCTTACGCACACTGCACAGGCACTTGGAACGTCTCAATAAAAAAAAAGGTAAATAAACGCGAAATGTATTTACTACCAAAGTCTTAATGTTTCTGTACTCTATTTCGCCTATTAATGGCTAATGCCGCTAATTACCCGTAAATGCCGGTCAAATGCTTATCTGCAACACACAAGTACACCGCACGCACGCCCTGTGCACAAACAACATGAATAAGAGAGCAGGTAGGAAAGCGTGATTGCAAAATTTGCTCGACTCTTGCTTCATTTCACACCTTCACAGCCCAAATACACCAACAACAGCTTCCATCTTGGTATCTGAGTCGAAATATGCTAATGAGTAATTTTTTGTAACACGGATGTGAAAAAATTAAATTCTTTATTTCTATTTCAAACTTCCCAACTCAACTGGTATAAACATCAGTTAATCATAATCCAAACATGTAATGTCAACTTCCGAACTAGAAACATACAAAAATTGTTTTCCACAAGGTAGACAGCTTGTTCGCATGTTAGGACGTTGCGGACGTTATTGTTTTGACAGACAAAGTGGTGTTTTGTTTCAAGCTAATTTATTTTCAGGAAACCAACCCAGATGTCTGTGTTAGCAAAAGTAAACTGCTATTTAATAATCAATCAATCAACTGATGTTTTCAAACGTGATTTTAGACATGTCGGTATCCTCTAAGGCCAACCACGTTTTATGTCACCTGTTTGACAGACAACCTAACGTCCGGAACAGATGGTTTAAAATCAAAATTTGAAGAAGGTAGAGACGTTTTGTGAAATGTTTTATTACATTTACTGAGAGATGCTTACATGATGTGCTGTACCATAAAACATTTATGGGGAAATTTCAGCAGCTGTGCAGTTAATATATAGTTCTTTAAACTGTCTACGTCACGAATTTCGAGCACCAGCAAGTAGTATATTTGTGTGTTATTTGTACAAAATAAAATGTATGAAAATACAATTAGCGTTTCTATTTACTTTTCATGCTCATATACCTTCGTTATACTCCCTAATTTGCCGGTGCATTCGATGTAACCAAACGTTCGATTCAACAACAACCGCCATGAATTCGAAAATTATTGTGTGGCGCCCAGACGCAGCTAGCCGATATAGCGAACATTTGCGGTAAACGAGGCATTGGCAAAATTATTGTGGCAGCCATGAAAATTCTTTGTAAACTTAAGCGGGAGTTTCTCTCTCAATAAATCTTCTTTCTGCTTTTTTCTGTTTCGTTTTGCTTTCCGATGCACTTGGTCTGCCGCAACCATTCGTTTATCGTTTATTTTATCTAGCTCTGCTCGGCATCTACTGACGGGATGTCACAAACATTTTTGTTGGCAGAAAATTAAAAAAAAAACAAATAACATTTCCGCAGTTTAATAATAATTTTTCAAAACAAATACATCCACTGAAGCATATATTCATTTATTTTTCCCTATATATTTGTAATATTCTATATAGGCCAACACAAATGCAAAACAGAAAGCTGTTTGGGCACCCACTTTGTGGCACCATACACAAATCACGATGAACATCGACCAGCAGCAACCAGTGCAGCAACGCGAGTGACGCCAGTATTGTGTAAATAGTGTTAGGTAACACTAATTCAAATCGTAAGATCTTTGCAACATTTAACAACGTAAAAACATTTATATTCAGGTTGCAGAGCTTTAGGAATATTTAGTAAGCGGTAGTACTAACTTTTGATGCTTTAATTTTTTTTTTAAAAATTAAAAAATAAGGGTTTCAAGCTATAAATTTCAGCAAATTCGCTGACGTAGCACACTTTAAGAGGTGTCATGACATGTTACAGAACTCACTCTGCAACATGGGCCTTCCTTTCTAACTTCATCCTATAATTAGCTAGAAAAGTGGTAGGGAGAACAAACTCAAGCTGTGGCATGCGCTGTTCTCTATGATCTAATGTGTAATGAGCGAGACGAATCGCGAGACAATTCCATGAGGAATGAAATATTATAATTTCCCGACAGGGGAATAAAACGGCGTGCTAAATTACGCCATTAGCGATATTTCGACTCATCTATGTGTAGCTAAATGAGTCACTTGTTCCGAATTAATAATCTGCCCTTTGCTCTTACCTACTCGACGCGGCAGAAGATATTTTGGTGAAATCCTGCAGGAAATTTTCTCGCTGCGTGAAAATGTATAGAGGACGTATCATCGAAAATCGCCTAAGCCCGCTAACTTTCGATGGCGATCACCTAGTAGTCGTGTCTGTGACGTCATGCCCGCGCGTGCGCATTATGTTTGGCTTGGCGTGCGGCCCTCGAAACAGAGCCTCTAGAGGCAGGCAGCAGCTCATCCCTGCATGCAATGCGCCGCATTACGTCGTGTATGAACAGACATCTCGTCCTCTTTACATTTTCACGGTGAGAACATTTCCTTGCGGATTTCAGGCGATATATCTCTGGCGGGAGTAGCGTAAGAACAAAGGACAGAGCTTATAATTCGAACAAGTGAAACAATTTAGCGCTACAACATAGATACGCAAAGATGGAAGCTGTTGTTGTGTTATTTGGCTTGTGAAGGTGTGAAATGAAGCAAGAGAGTCGAGCGAATTTTGCGCATCACGCTTTCCTACGCTGCTGCTCTTATTCAAATGTTTTGTGCACAGGGCGTGCGTGCCGGTGTTTGTGTGTTGCGAGATGATGCATTTACCGGCATTTACAGGTAATGCGGCAATAAGTAAGCGAATAGAGCTTAGGCTCTAGAAACATAAGACTTTGGTAGTAAATTGTTTTGGTGTTTATTTCAGCTTTTTTTTTATTGAGACGTCTTCAAGTGCTGCTTGACGCTTTACGCAATCGCCAGCTCGTGACGCTTACGCAAACCGCACTGCTACAATATTGAGCAAGTTTAGCCCTATAAAAAAATGTTTCATGAGCTATACATAATATATGCCATGAGTTCGTTGAAAAACGCAAAAACTTGTCATTATTTATCATCGACAACGACGTCCATCACGGTCATGGACGTATGACGTGTCTCGTGGTCATGTATATATATCATTGACATATGTCAATTGAACATTCATTGGGGTCACTTATGAATTGATGGCGTCATTCGTTGTACATGGGCATGTCCATCGATGCGTTCATCGGCTGTCCATGCATGTTTGCATGCGATGCAATCATGCGTGTGCATCGCATGTCATCGATGCGTCATCGGGTGATCAATGCATGGTCATCAATGCGTCATCGTGGTCA